GCCGGGCACCGACGCTCGCCCGGCCAGCAGCCCCGCGCCGCCCAGCAACGTCCAGGATGAAGTACTGCCAACCAGCATGTCGGAGATCAGCCCTTCCATGTCGATGCCTTTCTCATCCAGCTCAGAAACTGCTCCTCTAAGCTTAGCGTCGCCCAGGTCAGTTGTTGCAGATAATCAGGACAACAGTAACTTACCTCAAGTAGCTGTACCAGCACCTCGAGTTACTCACCGGATGCAGTCCAGAGGTTCTTTCTATTCAGTGGTACCAAATGCAAACCTCCATCAAGATCCTCAGTCTATTTTTGTTACGAATCAAGTTCCTTTAACACCTTCTCAAGGTCCACCTGCTGCAGTGCAGCTTTCGTCAGCCATGAACGTTATGAACGGTTCTCAGATGCACATTAACCCAGCAAACAAATCATTGCCTCCTGCCTTTGGGCCAGCAACGCTCTTCAATCACTTTAGTAGTCTTTTTGATAGCAACCAGGTGCCAGCTAACCAAGCGTGGGGAGACTGTCCACTCTCTACCCGAGCAGCAGCTGACCCATCTTTCACTGTTCAGTCTACCTTTCTGAATAACTCTGTGCTAGGACATGTGGAAAACGTCCATCCTGACAACTCCAAGGCTCCTGGTTTCAGGCCACCTTCCCAGCGGGTTTCAACTAGTCCTGTAGGTAAGTCATTAAGGTAATGGACAAAATTCTTTCTCCAGCCATTGCACTGTGATCGTCTCAAACTGATAGAGAAGTATTCTGCCAATGACAGTCGGAGAGTGCTCATGTAATGAGGATGGCCTGTTTTTTTCCAAGTGATCTTGAAAATGTTGATGATTTTTTTCTTCTTCAGCTCTTCTAGGCTGTTAGGTGTTGGGAAGATTTCAGACGTTGCATTGCTTGTCATCTGTAAGACACAGGAATGTTCCCACCTGTTTGTAGAGCAGCATTGGTTTTAGGTTTTGATTTGGAAAGGAACATTGTGTGGGATGATACCAAAGCTGAGGCAGCAGGGTCACAACTGCTGAAGATTCCAGCTGCAGCAGTGACTGGTGTTTTGTGTTTTATGTAAGACTCCAGCTTGACTCAGTGAGAGGGAACTCTCTGTGCCTTTTGGTTCTTGATATGGCTCCAGAATTTTAATAAGCTTACGTTGGGCTTTGAGAAATTGGTGTGCTACTGCATGGGTCGTTTTATTTGCAAGTTCAGTGTAGCAGTCCAGGCTTATCGGCATTTGTTTGAAAGGGGTTAGGAACACTGACACTGAGCTCCCTGCACTTGCTGTGCCGTGCCTGAAGGATTTTTGTCATCTTAATATCCAAACTATGTTGCAGACAGCCAGCTGCACCCATTTGGCTGGAAAGGACCCTCGAGATCTTTTCTGTGCCACCCTGCTCTCCTCTTTGTCCTTGCTGTGGTGGCTGTGGGGTGTCTGAAGTTGGGTAGCTGGAGAGCCTTGCCCTTCCCCTCACAGCGTGTGTTGGGTGTTTGGGCTAACACTTGAGGGCTTGAATGCTGGGCTGGGACAAGTCAGATGAAAGCAGAAGGGAGCATTTGGAAGATATGATGGTGAGGAAAGAAGATTTTCAAGATTCCCAATCCTCTTGGTTGCTTTACAAACGTGCAGGACTCTGCAAAGCAGGAGGCTTCTCTGGCTGGCTTTAACCACAGAACTGGGGTGTTTGCTCTGACCATGGTTTTCTGCAAAGTGAAGGCATACCCAGAGCTCTGTGCCACGTCCAGTCTCAGCATAGCAAGCAGCAATAGATGTGACTAAGGCTGTGGAAGGTAAAGTAATTGGACCTTGTTTGTCAGAGAGACTGTTAATAGGGAGGTGCCAGACCCTCCTCAGCAGGCTCCAGAAACACTTCACCTTGGCTCAGCTTTTCCTCTGCAGTGCTCTAGGCTGGGAGTTGGCTGTTGCTGAAATAAGCCCTGGGGAAGGAAGCTTATGGCAAATAGAGGCTGCTGTTTTCTCTGACCATGGCATCCTGTGTGTACAAACACAGCTGACTGGGACTTCCCACAGCAGCAAAACCATTTTGCTCTTCCCTTATGCCAAGGTCATCTGTTTGTCATGGAGGAAAATTTCTTGGTCCTTTATATATCCTTAGATGACTGTAAGTATTTAAAAGGCAGTCTCAATCTGTTTTTTCCCTGGGTTAGGCAGATAGCCAAAGAGAGCTCAGACAGTTGACTTTGGGGAGATAAGTGTTCAGTTCTCAACTGAAGTTCAAAAATATTTGGACAGAAAATCTGTTTTCTGAACTGGGATTTGATTAGGATATTGCAAAGTGAAGAAAAACTGCAAATAGCTAGGTGTGCTGCTAAAATTGTGCCTGGCAGCAGGTGACTGGTTAGTCAGGTCTTTAGTTTGTTCATTTAATGTTGTTTTACTTCATGCTGCTTTTGATCACCTTTGTTTGAGAATCTAAGTTGTCCATCACACAGGAGGGGGTAGTTAGGTGAGCCTGGGGAGAAGGGAGTGGGCACATTAGGCTGAGGACTTGTCTGATGCCTTGTGAGCCTAAATGTGGTCTGTCCATCCATCTCATTCACTGGCTTGTTTCAGGGGAATGGACCTTTTCCCTCGGCTCAGCCTCTGAGGTGGGCTGAACTGTGGCTGTTTCCATAGGGCTCAGTGACAGTGTTTGTGAGATTTTGAGAAGGGGGAGAAGGGCCAGTCGCTGCTGGCTCGTGCTTTGGCCAGCAGCAGCAGCAAGGAGCAGCCTGAGCCTGGCCTGGCAATTCCATGCACTTCTGTGTGCTGAGAGGAGGTGGTGGCAGCCTCAGAGCAGGTGGACACCCATCACCTGATCTCAGCTGTGATGCTGCACCTGAGGGAGTAGAGGTTTGTCTTTTGTGCCTGTCTTGCACAGTTGGGCCATGGCAAATCTTTCCACAAATCAGTGTTCCTTGGTGATCACCTCTAAAGTGATTTGGTGGAGATTTAATACTGTTTGGTTGTGCACTAAACCAGATTTTTCTTAACAAGTTCTCACCTCAGGGTGGAGTTTGGGTATTCTACTTTTCCTGTTCCTGTAAGCTCAGCTGCAGCTTGAGTTGTCTCTGATTCAGCAGTTCCTTTGGGGCACAGATACCCCTGCAGGTCTCACTGGCTGTGGATCTGTTCTGGAAATGGCCTATTTGTCTCACATCTTTAGGTCTTTTGTCCTGGATACTTGCAGGTTGAGGGCAGGCATAGCCCATCTATTTGGGGAGGCTGTGGAGAAGACCAAAGGAAGCCTTTTCGTTGCTTCTTTCCTCTGAATTTTAAGAAGGGGTTTCAGACCTTGCTCACGTGGCATTAAAAAGGATCACAGACTTGAAATGCACCAGCTTAGGAGGTAGCACATGAGTATGAAGCTGTGTGAAATGGCTTCGGTCACATGGAGTGACCAAGCATTGTGACTGTTTCCCTAAAGGTGGAGGTAGCCCTTGCAGTAACCACTGTCTGCAGAAGTGCCTGGGGGCTTTGATAAACTGAATTTTGAGCAGAGTTTATGTGAGATCAATACACCCATCTCAAAAGCTCAGGTAGGCTTTCAGAGCATGATGAGGAGTTTGAGTTCATGGCCCAAGTAACTGCAGAGTGTGGTATTGCAGAAGGGTTTAGTGTAACAAAAGCTGATTTTGTTGGTAAGTACATGAATAGGAAGCTTGGTAAGTCATTGTTCAGAATAAACATTTTTTTAACATCAAGTAAAGTTTTTTATTCACTTCTGTGACAGACAAGATAATGATAAAGTGTTCTTTACAACCTGAAAACTGGATTTGTGCATCTCTGGCTGTCGCACTCCCTTCAGCCTGTGGAACACACTCAGCAGTGCTGAAGTGGTCTTGCCTGTCCAGTCATTGCACTTTAAAAGCTGTGTATCCAAAAGCTGTGTACCCATCTGAAGACACAGCTGGGCATCCCTCTTCTGCAGGGGAGCTGGTTTTGTCATAGTCTCTTCCACCTTCTCTGTTTAGGAACCCATCAGTGCCCATGGGCAGCAGCACCTCTGTTGCCTCTGTCTGGGGCAGGCTTGGGACCTGCAGTGGTTTCTCAGCCAGCTGGCAGCTTGTGTGTTGATGCCTGGTGGAATCAGCCACCACAGAGGCCTTTTGGCTGCCACGTTTGTGGATGGAGGGTTGCCCAGAGTTTCCTGTCCATGTCTCCATGGCAGATGCCCAGGGAGGGCCCTGGGCTGCAGGCACTGCAGTTGGCTTGTGGCCAGGCTCTGTGCTGGAGGCAGTCTGCAGCTCCAGACAGACACAGGGCAAACACACTGCAGCCACAGGCACTGGCCTCCTCCTCAGAGCCATGAGGTCCTGCACTTTGTGCTGCCACAAACCCAGAGGTCCCTCAGCTGAGCACCTTGTGTTCAGCGGGGGTGATGTATTTGTCCTTGGCTGTAATGGCGACTTCTCTTTTTAACCTTTGGGCTAGTGAGAAAAGTACCTCTTTCAAATCCAGCAAGTCATTTCTGTCCACGTGACCAGGTTGGATCTGGCTCTTCTGGAAGCAGTAAATCAGGCTGACTTGGTTGATAATACTGGGGAGAAAAGACCTGGCTTTCAGGATCTGTCCAGGTGCTGAACGGTGCCCCTCTAGCCTGTGCCTGTGGCCTGAGCTGTTTCCTGGCACTGCTCCCTTTCACAGGCCACTGGGGCATGCATAGGTACAACCCTCAACCTTGCTCTGCAGCAATATAGGCTGGTCCTGGTTGTGGTCATTTTGAAATGTTTAAATGGTTTTGAAACTAATCATGTTTAATAGGCCCTTGAAACTAAACCCAAAACTCAGGTGAACATACGGCCATGCCCATTTCTGCTTTCAGGTAATATCGTGTGATAAGAGCTTTTACAACGTTTTGGAAAAGTACTTAAAAGCTTTGGCTTATTAAAAAAATGTAATTCCCCCTTGCTAATAACTTTTGTGGGACTTTTTCTCCATCTCTCCCTTCCTTTCACACATCCCTGGAGGAAACAGCCCCGTCCCCTGTTGTGCTGTGCCACGTCAGCCCTGTCTCTCTGGCCACAGCATGCTCTGACTGGTCTCTACCTGGATGTGCCTGTGGGATGGCAAAGCCCATCCTGCAGAGAACTGCTTCCCTGGTGCTGGATTCCCCTGGGACTTTGACACAGCCCTGTATCCCTCTTGGATTTGGGTGGCTTTTTTGTAAGCAAAGATCTTGGCCACTCGCAGCTTTCCTGCTCTGCACTCCCTGCTAAGATCATTTCCTTCCAGTGACCAAAGGGATGGCTGTTTGTGTTAAAACCTGAGGCCAAACCAGAGAGCCTACAGAAGTGCCTCTGTGGTTTCTAAGGGGGGACTCATGCACCTGTAAAATGACCTTACCATGTGCAGATGCCCCTGAAGGTGATGAGATGCTTTAATTATATTTGGAGCACTAGCTTTCTCTGGTGCTTTGAAGCAGGTTCCCAAAGAGAGATATTTAATCAAATTTATGTTTATTTCAGGCTTACCCTCTCTAGATCCATCCAACAGCTCTACAACTTCTTCTTCAGGTCCTTTGACAGGCTTTTCAGCAAACATACAAGGAGCACGGGTTTACCTTCAAGGGCCAGCGCCTGTTGGGACTCCCAGCTTTAACAGACAGCATTTTTCACCACATCCTTGGACAAGCGCAACAAATTCATGTAGGAACTTCATGGGTCTGTCTTAGTTAACTATAAATTCATAGCTGTTGTCTTTAGTAGATTTCTAACCTGAGGGGAAGTTACCCAGTGATGCACAAAATGCTTTCCAATTGCTTTTAGCAGCTGTGAGGATGGAGTGCACATCCCAAGCTCTGCTATTTTGTGGGGTGTGGGTTTTTTTCCCATGCCACTAGTTCTGGTAGCATTGCTAAAGGTATATTTGGGCCAAAAAAAAGACTCACTGTAGGCTTTTAGAGAAGAGAGCATGGAGCTGTGGGGGAATGGAGGTGACTTTACCACACTAAAGATTCCTCTCTAAGTAGTGTAAGTGTAACAGTAGGTGAAAATGTCATGTTTGCCATGGTTTGAAGTTACACTTGCCTTTTCTCTTTATTTTTTTCCTTTTTAAATTGGGATCTGGAATTATACTTAAAATGTTCCAAAATCTTTAAGCATCATCTGAGGTAACAGTGGGTTTTCCTCCTAATGGGAAGAACATGGAAGTAGCTTTATAGAAAATATGGGTCTTTGGTTCAGAATCTTAGGTCAAGAGGTTTTTCATGTCACTGCATGCAACTTCATTGCCACTCTGAGCTTAAGAAGCGAAATGTTTCACTGAGTGCTCAAAGGAAGTTGGATTTCTCAAGGAGAGTCAGTGACACCTCTGAAGTTGGCAGGACTCACACTCTTGGGCCACAGCTGTGGCTTTGGGAAGCTGTCTGATTTCTCTTCTGCTGGAAGTGGTGGATACCAAAACCAGGCTGTTTAGAGATTTATGGTGTTTTGGCTGATGTTTTCACCTCTTCCTGAAACTCTTCCATGTTTCTTATTCTTTCTTGTAATTAACTTAGATACACTGCTATATCATGAGAATATCACGATTCTAATAGCTGAAAGCATTTCTGTTGTGATGTTGATTTTAGAGTTAGAAGAACTTCTAGGCAGAATTTCTGTGAAAGGCTTGAGGACTGATTTCCAAAAAAACAGCCTTTAAAGCATTTTATCCTTTGCTTTGAGATAATAACTGGGGGGATAGCGTGGGTGGCATTTATGCTCACTACCTCGTGTGCTTTGTGTGTAATTAAGCCAGAGAAATACTCTTTTCAGCAGGTGAATCTCCTATTCCATCAGTTTCCTCAGGATCATCTTCGCCCCTCTCAGCTGCTTCTGCACCTTCTAACTTGGGCCAGCCAAAAACGGGTAACGCCAATCCAGATCGCAAGGTTCCCCCTCCCATCGGGACAGAGAGACTCGCCAGGATCCGGCAGGGAGGGTCAGTCACTCCCACACCCCTGGGAACCAACTTCACAGCTCCTGTGGGTCACAGCGGCATCTGGTCCTTCGGCGTGAACAGCGTGTCCGGTGAGTGTCACACTGCTGGCAGCACAGGGACACCCGCAGGGCCTTCCAGAAGGATTGTTTGGAAGGACAGCTGGGGAGGAGGAACAAAGCTCCAAGTCGGTACTCAACTTCCATGTAGCACATCCTGAGGGGAGGGAGGGCTGGTGTCCGTGGTGGGAAGCGCTAAGGTTTCCTCTCCTGGTGCTGGTGGTTCTCACCCAGCCTGGATTATGTGTCACCATGCACATGTGAGCCTGAGAACGGTGCAGGAACTTCCCTTGGAGTCTACTGAATGACCCAGAATTTAATGAGTAAAGAGCCTCTCTCTGTTAAGGTCTGTTTCCAGGCCAGACTCTTGCCTCCCTCCATCCAGTTCTCGCTTGCTTTCCGGTCACGTTTCACAGTGTCAGCTGAGGTGCAGCTGATGAACACAGATGTGGGTGATGGGTTTGACTCTTGAACAGTGTGGGCTAACTTCTGGTCCAGGCAGCTCTGGTTCCCAAAGAATGTCTTGAAGCAGCAGGTGTTTTATGTTCCGTTTTCTGATCATGGAAGGGTTTTGTGGAAAGGAGAAGGTGCTGCATTTGAGTGTGGAGTGTTTTCACTGTAACTTTAAAGACAAACCTTTGAGTCCTGTATTTGTTGTATGTTTCAGCAAAGCTCTCCACGCTTTGGTTAACTTAGTGTCTCAGCCCTGCTTGTATGTGCTCACAGACAGTGCTGGGAGCTCTCTTGGATCTTAGCTGTTCTGTGGACACCTGGAACTTGCAGTTCCTGTTAGTCCCAATCCTCTGCACCCTTGTCTAGAGGATCAGGGTGGATGTATGTGCAGACAGCACATGCCCAGCCCCAGGCTGCTCTTTCCCTATTTTTGCTGCTGTCACAAGTGTTAACTTTTTCTGTGTTCCTATGGTACATGTGGGGGTGGAGGGAAGGAGAGTGTGTGTGCATGTGGCCAGCCTTGCACAGTGCTGCCTGCTGCAGTGGCTCTGGGAGAGTTGGTGCTGCAGGTCACACAGGTGTGTTAGCACTGTCTGTAATGGATTATCAGCCTAAACCTGCAGGTATCTTCGTGCTGTGTGAGGCTGTGGCAGGTCTGCCTTGCTCAGGGCAGAGCCCTGAGATACCTCTGGGGCTGTGTGTTTTCAGGGACCTGTTGGATGCACAGAGGTGTGTGCAGCTGCTGAATCCTACTCCAGAGTACCTGCAATGAATTGTAATCAGCCATTTTCAATCTCCTTTCCAGAAGGCCTGTCAGGCTGGTCTCAGCCTGTCATGGGAAATCATCCAATGCATCAGCAGCTGTCGGACCCAGGCACGTTTTCTCAGCATCAGCCAATGGAGAGAGATGATTCTGGAATAGTGGCTCCCTCGAATATTTTCCACCAACCTATGCCAAATAGTTTTGTGGATTTTTCTAAAGTAAGTTGAGACTGTGTTGGATTAGTCTGTGAAATGACCAAGGACTGACTTTGTATCTCCTGCTCTGCCTGTCCATGCTGTGTGTGCACCTCTACTGCTATTGCTTGCCACCCCAGTCCTGAACCTTTTATCCCAGAACTGACCAGAAAAGGTGCCCAAGCCTGGAGGCACATCTAAAGAAAACCAGAATCTGTAGATTGCAGATGTTCTCTGGTCAGTAGCTGAAGGCCTCCATCACTCTCCAGTGTTTCCTCTCTCAGAGACTTAGTCATTCAGAAATGTTTTGCAAAGCTAGCTCACCTCTTGAGGCTCGTAGGTGGTTTGCTTAATGCTTTAAGCACAAACCATGTCCACAGTAGCACATTTCCTTAAGGAAAGGCCAAGGGGAGAGGACTGCCTGTAAGGCTGGGCTTTGTATGTTAGCACTGGGAATTAGCTGGAGGCAGCCAGATGTAGCCAGGCCCTAGTCAGCTCCACAACCACGGGGGAGTGTCTGGGATGCTGTGCTCCACAGACCTGCTCACGGCGTGTTTTGGAAGGAGCTGTATGTAGCATGTGCTCTTGGGATCTTCAGCATGGCAGAGCAGCAGTCATTCAAACACAGGGGAAGAATTCTTGGAAGTGGGGAAAGCTGCTCTATAACTTGCTGTTTCTGAACTGGAAGAATGTTGTAGGTGGCCATTAGAATTACAGAAAATCTTCATCCCAGAGTGTGGTGAGCTGGGGCTGTGCTTGGGCTGTGCTCAGTGCACCCTGTGTGCCCTGTTGTGTGCTGCAGAGAGGAGGGAGCACTGAGCTCACTGTGTTCAGCTGCAGGGCTGGCTGTGTGGGCTCCTCAGAGTGCTGTGTGTGCTGCAGCCTCTGCAAGGTGTAAGTTCAGAAACATGACTAAGCTGAGTGTAGTCTGCAGCTCTGAAGAATCACCATGTTCCATACTCTGCCTTGCTGTTTCCTCACAGCGCTGAGATACCTGCCAGTAGGTGAATGTTATGTATGGCTGTGACCTGCCTGTGCCACCTGGGCAAATAGCCACCCTCCCCATGGCCACCTTCACCAAGTGCTGTCTCTTGTCCCCTCAGGGTCTGCCCATCTCCATGTACGGCGGCACTCTGATCCCCTCGCATCCTCAGCTGGCGGATGGCCCCGGAGGGCCCCTCTTTAACGGGCTCCATACTCCAGATCCCGCCTGGAATCCCATGATCAAAGTTGTCCAGAACTCAACAGAATGTACTGATGCTCAGCAGGTAGTGTGGCTGCCTTTTCCCACCTGTTCTTACTTGAGGTTTTACGCGGTAGTGTGATGTCCATTTCTGGATAGGCAACATGTATGTTTTTCTGTTCTTTGAAACTGAGATTGAGACTGTTTGTGTGACTTTTCCCTACTCTGCGTACGTGTGTGTGTTTATAAAATATCCATGGCACTATCAGTACCAAAGCTTCCAGGTAACACTAGCAGCATTTCAAGACTGCTCAGCCAGGTAACAGACTGTTAGAAGTGAGAGGGTTTATATCCGTACTCGGCACCTTGCAGGTTGTCAGTCAGACTTTGGCTGGAGCTGGAGAGCTCCTGCCTTTGGACAGGCTGGTTGTGTTTTGGGGGAAGCCTTACGCTGGCCCTTAGTGGTTGAACACTGTTAAAGGAACATTTATTTGTTTTCATAATAGATTTGTCTTTTTATTTCTTGCTGTAGATTTGGCCTGGCACCTGGGCACCTCACATTGGAAACATGCATCTCAAGTACGTCAACTGATTTAAGGGGGTCTGTCCTTTTTTAGCCTGGTTTGGGAATCTTTATGACCTTGAAGAACCCTGGGGATTTTTTTCATGTGCCTAACAAAGCGATTTTCTGTGGGCTGTAACAATGGAAACTTGATTGCCCATTGTATAAGAACAAATTGACTTACCTATACAAACTGATTCTCTTCTCCAGTTAGTTTAGCCACTTTAAACTTTAAAAAAAAAAAATCAGACAAAACTAGTGCTTTTGGCTAAACACTACTGAATGCTCCTTGTATGCAGCAGAGAACTAGCTGATGACATGATTTCAGCCTTTAGGGTGGTAAATGCCTGTATAATTGTTTACAGACTTAAAAGGAAAAGCTGAGTAAATTTCATGTCGTATAGTGGCTCTACTTTATGTAGCCTGTATTAATGTGAAATATTTACCTGAATACTCAATAAAAGGCAAACAGCATTTAGAGGTTGTGTGTGAGAATTTTGGAAAGGGCTGTATGTTGTTGTCCTCGGCAGCTGCTGCCGTGCCTGGTGACACATCTCCTCATGGTCACACACTGAGCACGTGGGAGCAGTCAGGGTTTGGGGAGGGTGTGGAGCCACAGGACTCTGTCTGCAGAGTCCTTCCCCCTGCCAGTTGTGAGCCTTTTATTGGTGTGAACATGCTTATGTGTTACAGGCTATTTTCCCCTTCTAGATTAGTTCTGCTGCTTCTCGTGCTCGTTTTGCAGGTGGATCACCTGAGAGATCAGGTTTTACTCAGGGCTGCAAGTAAGGGCTGACAACAGTGGTAGGTAAATGCAGGCTCCTTCACCTGCCTTGTTGTGACAGCCACCCAGCAGAGCTTCAGAAGGTGCTTCCCACTAGAGGAAAACTTAGTAGATTCAATTCTATGCTTCTTGTAATGCTTTAAATCTGCTAAGAGCTCCTCTTGTGAGGAAGAAGGGGATTTTTGCACACTGCTTAAGATGGATATTAATTCCTGACCCAGTTCTCCACTTTCTGCACTCAGACTGTGCTTATTTCTGCTTTTGCTCTGAGGCAATGCAGTAACTACATGGAATGTTGGGCCCATTCCTTAAGCAGGTTAACTACAGTGCACATAGTGTCCAATCTAATGGACCATACTTGGTGGTCTTGAACCAGGTAGAGACTTCACCTTTTCCTCCACCTTATCCAGACACAGCAGCAGCAGAGTTTCCCCAGGAAAAGCATGAGGAAGTACTGAAAACCCAAAGTGCACAAGCAGTATCCAAGTACCACAGGCAAATCAACCTCGGAAGTGCTACTGGATGGTATATTCAGGGATTTCTCCTGGTATTTGAGGAAGAATGGAAAAAGAATTGAACTGCTGCTGCCCCACTGATAATGCAAATGCCAAGGGAGAAACACAGTAGAATCAGAGAGTGACAGAAAGGTTTGGGCAGGGGACGTGTGTTAGCAGCAGTGGTATTGAAAACAAGTGGTGGTGTGGTGCCATAGGTGTGTGCTCTCAGGGTGAGGGGCAGGGCAGGGTAGGGTACACACTTTTGTAGGCTCCCTGGTTGCAGCAAGCACTGCCACCTCCTCCTGCCCCATCCCAGGGAGCCACTGTCTCCCCATCCCAGAGGGCTATAGCTCCAGGCTGGGTGACAGTCTACTCCATCACACCAGGGGGTAAGACCCAGCATGGGCCTGTCCCTTGAACAGCCTCGGCTGCCCCAGCCCTAAGCTCTTTCCTGACTGGGTCCCTTGCTGGGCTCTCCATGGTGCAGCTCAGTCCTTGGGGACATGGGCACTTGCTCTGGGCACCAGATCCAGGCAGCCCCATGGGGCAGTGACTGCCTTGGCTGAAGTGGAAAAGGGAACCCCAAAGCTTTGTAGGAAGATCCTGCTTGAAGTTCAGGCCATCATTGCCCCGTGGTACAAAGAGGTGCAGGCAGAGGCAGGGCCTGGTGCTTCCAGGGCTGGTGAGCAGGGCTGGTGGCAGTGCCACTGCGCTGCTGGATGCAGCTGGTTCCTTGGGGCAGACTGGCTGGGTCGGGGGAAGGCACGGGGGCCAGCATGGGAGTCTGCTCCCACCCCAGTGCACCAGCCCTAGGGGAAGGCACTGGGTGTCTTGGCTGCCCTAGGCCTGCCCTCCTGCCCTCTCCAACCCCCTGCCAAATCCTTGGGTCAGCTGTTGACCCAAGGTTGCTGTCTGTCCTCAGGGGACTGTGTGCCTTGTCCCTGAGCTGGGCGTGTTTGGGTTGAGCCACAGGTGCCCATCCTGTGGGTGCTGGCTCCATCCTGTGCCTCTGATAAGCTCTCTGGGGTGGGGGAGCCCAGCCTGGCGCTGCAG